GCATGCAATGACTCAAAAAGTCCAATACACTGCTCCCAATAGAATCCTCACGAAAGGGCACGAGTCACAAACCATAGTGAGGAGCGGGAGGCGGAGGGAGGACGGGGGAGGGAACCGCCAAAATCGCCTGGATTCGCCTATGCCTGAGGAAGCACAGTAAGGGAAATATAAACATTTCACCAGATGCATTTTTTTAGTTATGCAATATTCATACAAATAATAGAGGAAAATTAACCAAACACATCCTCGCTATTGAAGTCGGCTGTATAATCATCGTCACCTTCATCATCAGCAACAGGAACAGTGGTGACCACAGAGCTTTCGCCGCCTCTTGACGCTGTCTGGTTCTCTCTTTTGGCAGTCTGAATTCAACGAAAACGATACAGGTAAGATTCTGCGGATCATCAAGTTGGCAAAACATTTACTAGCATAATTGTTTAGACATTAGTGCCATCATACTTTCTACTGATGAAATTATTATTGTAAAATTTTTATTACTGAACAAGTAAAGATCGCTATGGACAACTGATGTGTCATACATTTTGTTAACAATTTTATCCGGATACTTCCGCAACAAGATGCCCTTAATTCCAAGTAGTAAAGAAAGCAGATGTCCTATGAAAGAGGCGGTACAGGTGAGTACAGACTGGAGGCATATATGTTAGGAACGAAGGCCTATTGCAGGAGACCCGCGAAAAGCCGACCAGGAAACCACCACAAGGAAAAACAGAAGAAAAAAGTGTATCTTGTCTTGAAAGGCAGGTACACAGTAGATGTGATACAGCAGATTGAAGCTAGAGCACAAGGACCAGTGGTGTAGTGGCAACGCGTTGCGTCCAAATGCGAAGGGGAGTGGTTCGATTCCTTTCTGGCGCAGGACAATTTTTGAAAAACGGCTCCATTTTCGACAGAGCCGGCGTTTAGGAATATTCCAAAAGTATCTTAATATCGAATGTCCGCTCCGACTGTCCAGACGTTCCTTACTGTTGTTGCTGAATTATAGTTAATATTGCTATAGTTGTTATTGTTATCCTAATAACAATTATTACTGTCACTGGTGTGCTTAGCAGCTAGGAGTTGGAGAAGTTTAACAGCACACAAAAACTCAACTAAAAAAATCTAGGGGGGTCAACAGTCTCAATTATGCATTATTCCTCACTCGCTGCACTACAGGCTGACCTGGGAAAATAGGAATTTCACTCTATTAGTTTAGGTGATCGTTTTTTCGTCACACTTTTTCCAGCTTAAAACTCTTCTGCAACATACCGTTCGACGAGAAGTTTCAAATTCAGCTCGTTCCGGTGCCATATTTTCATTTGTTGTTTGTGACAAATTGCGGAGTGCTTCTTTTTGGGCACGCATCTTGTCCATCGTTCTACCGAGCAGCACTGCCGGAGAATTAAGCTCCTTCTTCCGCCGGTGCCACTGTTGCTGCTGCTGCAGGGATGTTTCTAATGGATAAGGCTGAAAATCATGATAAATGAAATAAATAGCAACGCGCACCAGACTAGCCGATGCGATCATGTGTTTTGTGCATTTCAGCCCCTCGGACAATTGCCTATTAATAATTCTCACTGCTTTGCAGTTTAGTCTATGCAAAAAAAGTTCAAAAATTGGAAAACAGTTAAAAATTTCACGCACCAGCGCATGAAAGCTGAATTCAAAACCTTGAAGGATGAATATCTTCCCGTGATTCCCGAGTTAATAGTTTACCCGTCAAAAATCTCACGGGGCCGTCGGTGATACCCGAGAGCGCGAGAATGCTGAATTTGAATGGGCAAGTTTGAGTGGGGGCAGGGGATCATCACCCTAAAATTTCAGCCTCGTAGACTCCGTAGTTCCTCAGATATTAATTTACCCGTGAAAAACTTTCACTGGGCCGTATGAGTTACCCGCGGGTACGGGAAGGCTGAATTTAAATTTGCCGCGTCACCCGCTGGCGGGGAACACTATGCTAAAATTTTAGCCGCCTACCTTTTGAGGTTCCTGAGTTGAAAATGCGGGACAAAATGTAGAACACACAAACACACACACATACACACACACACACACACAACCCCGTGACAATATGGGTTTTGTATCGCTGCTACACAGCACAAAACGCATAAAAAGTATGGTATGCCCATCAAAAAAAAATTCGAAAACACACACATAAATGATGCCCGGGTTCCTTTGATCATAATGCCCGGGTTTCTTTTAAAATTTTGGAGAATGATGTTGCTTAGAATTGTTATATTATTGCATGTGCCTTACACATCTGATGAGTCAGAGATGATACTTGAAATCCGCTCCAATTGATTGTACAAACAAAATAGTAATAATAACAATAAAAATAGCATTGACGATAGCGATAACAATAATAACGGAATTAGAATTGATTTCAAACTATAACATATTGTTAGATCATACCATATCGAGGTTTTCACTGATTGTATTCAGTGCTGTTGCGGGAGCTGACGAATGCAATACTGAAAACATTGCTTCTGAGTTTGGATAGCTGAGCATGAGGTACTGTCCTCAGCAAAAGCCCCACCTAAGCCTGAGAAAAAATTCAAAAAATAGGAATAGTTACCAGTTGGAGTACCGCTCGCTTTCGTAACTGCACGCAGGCCATTCTTCTCAATTCGAGCTATTTTTTCGGGCACCGGCAAATTGATATGTTGCATGCAAAAGAATCTGAAAAATCGTGAAAGATTTTGTGAACCGGGGAAGCATACTTAACGGCTCGATACACTGAACAGTGCCCTCAAATTACAGAAAGTTTAGCGCCTCATTCAAATAGATCATCTAAAACGGGATTCTTAAAAAAACCATCTGAGCTTGCCCGTCTCAAACGATGCCCTCATATAACTTGTCATTTTTCATGCATCTAACACAGTGGTCGTTTTCGTCGAGAGCAACAAGGTGCACAACAGCGGAACCGCGAACTGTTCAAAACACCTTATAGCATTTAAACCACGTTCTCTCCTCTCCCCCGGTCCCACCCTC